CTGGTGTCGTTATTTATTTTTGATTTATTAGTATACAAACTTAATTTCTAAAAAACATATGTTTATATTTTGTACAATATTTATACACTATTTAATTTTAAATTTATTTACATATTTTAAATTGTTACATAAATAAATAATACTAACATACATTAAATAATTTTCATTACATTAAATTAAAAGGAACAATTAGACGTACAACTTCTATAACTTTTATAAATAATCTATTACTATATAATAGAGAGAAGAAAAAATGTTTGAAAAATTATTTCATTTTATCACTCAAATCACTTTTTTCCATCTAATATTTTGTTTGAAATTTTTTCGAAAGTTTGAATTTTTTTCATTCCGAAATTCAGTATGTTTTGGATGAGTTCAATATGTTTTGAATGAGATTCCTTCCATATCGGATAAATTTAAGTTCCTTTTCATTTGGAAAACATATTTTTATTTTAGCATAATATTTGACTTCCTTTTTTTTAACCGATTATGTTGGTCTTCTGTTTAAAATTAATTTTTTTTTAATTAAAGAATGTACCAGTTTCCTAAACATGATAAAAACATATCACTTCGAATATTTTTTGAAATTGAGGATTCCAACTACCACTATTAATGTGATTAGTACTAACTAATTTTGTTAAATAATATCTTCATTGATTCACCCCAACACGTTTGATAGGTCGGTTCATGAGTCATTTATGATGCATAAAATCACACAATAGTGACTATTTAATATAAAACGATTTAGAATATAACAATTCAAAAATTGAGGATTCCATATAATGTAGGCTCAAAAGTTACGAATTGATTTATTCAAAAAATTGAGGATTTCATATACTACAAATTGATTTATTCTACAAATAATTCACAACTTTACGGTTAAAATAATACAATATGTACATCATTTCCCTTACAAATTTTATCAACCAACACGATTTTGATGATAATTTTTCAAATTGATCTGTATTCCTTTTGAATATCAGAAAGACTTTTGAACAAATATTAGTTAATAAAATTTAAAATTTGTAATTTAATTTTAGAGAATTAGTTGATAAATTTGAACAATAAAGTAACCGAAAAAAAAAATCTAAAAAATTGAGAGATAATATATATAAAGAATTTATTGTGTAGTCTAAATTTGGTTTCCAAATTTAAAAGTCAAATAAGTTATTCTTAATAACTTACGGGTTAGTATTAACTTGGACGTAAATAGAATAATAAATTATTTATAGTTTAATAAATTACTCAACTACTTAATTTTTTTATTTAGATAGTTTATACAAAAATAAATTCAATTTAATTAATGAAATAATATAGTTTTATAACTGTACTTATTATTCACATAGATTTTTAAATATTCATAACATTTTATCAACATTATTATTTTATGGAATTACATTGTAGTTAAATTGAATTTCTGAATGAAAATTTTAAAATGACACTTAATTTGAAATTATATTGTAATTTATTATCAGTTACGTTCACCGTACTGGTTGTGTACTAATTTTAAATAGACATGTTTTTTATAATTTTGCACAATTTAAATTTCATATAACATTTTCAATAAATTTAATATAGGTGAATTGTATTACAATTGATTCCATATTTTTAAGTTATAAATATTATTTAATGTTTATTTTTAATTTATAAATATTAATAAATATCTCCTACCCCTGCATAGCACAGGATTCGTATTAGTTAAAGAAAATAGAACCAAAATAAACAAATATTTAATTATTTATATAAAAACTAGAAATGTGTTACTATTTATATAAGAACTAGAAAGGTGTTACTATATGGTATCTAATCTCCCTAATAAATATCTCCTACCCGTGCATAGCACGGGATTCGTACTAGTAATGACATTATATGATAACAAAATTTATAATAAAATATAATTAGCTATGGTGAACAAGAATAAGTGAAACTGTTATTTTCTCTTATATCAAGACATAAATATATATATTAAAATCAAATTTATATCAGTATAAATGTGTTAGTGAGATAATATACTAATTATTTAATAAGCTAGCTCTAACATACTCATATCTAATGTTCTGGTTAAAAAAAAGGTTGATTGAAAGAGATGGAAAACATATTATAACGTGTTGTATTTTAAACTTAACCCTGATTAAAAGAGGTGGAAAATGGATAATAACCTTATTGCTTTTGTACCTAAACGAACGGGGTCTGTGAAAATAGTCTGTGAAAATAACTTATTTAATATTTTGTTCCGTGCATCGCACGGGATACGTACTAGTTTAACTTTAACCAAAGTCTCAACCTTTAAAACAAGATAAATAAGTATTTAACCTCTGTAATCACTTAGGCAAGCAATGAAAATAAAAAGCTCCAACTCTCATTTAACAAGCAGGCACCCAAGTTTATCTTGAAAAATTTCATAATAAAAAATGGAACAAATACAGAGTAATGAGGCTTAAAAGTAAGTATCCACTCTCCTATTGCGTGCTCGAAGAAAATTGGAGTGAAAAACTTGGAACTTACATAAAAATAAAATCGCCGAAAAGTCACCATAAAATTCGAGTCATAGAGCTCCAACACAAAATAGAGAGAAAAAATAAAAGGGAGAACCTTTCCCGAAAGGGGAAAAGTGAAAAATAAAACTTAGGTACTCAAAGTTCAAAGGAAGAATCTTATTTACTTATTTATACTAGTCTCCAAAAACACACACTAGCTACACAAACATTAAATAAAGAGAACTCACAACGCTGAGAACTGGATTTCGTGGGCGAGTGTGGTTGCTAGGTGGACAGGTCTTGCAGGGCAAACTCGCGGGCAAGAAGACACGCGACTTGGAGTTCGCGGGCGAGCTGCTGGTGCAGGCTGGCAGGGCACTTGCGACGCCGCAAATTGCATCTCGCTGGTGAGTGGCTGCTGGCATGGCGCTGAACTCGAGAGCTCGCCAAACAGAATTCGCGAGGGAGTGCGGCAGCGAACTCGTGGCCTCGCGAAAACGCACTCGGGTGGCGAGTTGAGCAGGACTCCATGGCAGCACTTCCACGAGGTTGCGAGTTGGGCAGGTGTGGCGCAGGCGTGTGGACGCGGGTGTGCATGCGCAACGCGCGGTGTGCTCGGTGCGGCAGCGCACTGGTCTGCTATGGACGCGGCTCGTACGCGGGTAAGGACTCGGAAATGGCCTAAAATGACTCGGGGTGGCTTGAAACGATCCCGGGATGGGTTGGCAATGGCTTGGGTGGCTCGGAATGATTTAACCTCCCACACTTCCGCAAAATAGACCTAATAAACACCAAAAGAAACGAGAAAACATGTCGAACCACAAAAACACAATATAAAAGCAAAAATACACGAAACACGAGAAATGGACAGGTCAACACTAAAATGAACCTAAAAAGACTCGACTAAAGCACGTAAAACACATGAAAGATACGACAAAAATACAACAAACAACAACCCCACACTTAACTTTTTGCTCATTCTCAAGCAAGTATAATAACAAGTAATTCGAGAAGAGAGATGGAAAGGTCCAAAATTAGTGATCAAGCGAAATGAAACTCTCTTCTTCCTCCGGTTATCCACAAAATTAAACTCAAATTCGATAACACGGTCCCCACAAGATGAATTCATACAAAACAAAAACCTGTCTCAAGTCATTCTACACATGATTTACTCGATTCAAACTTTATTTTCCAAATACACGTGTACAAAGCTATTAACGGTCTACTCCAAATATAAAAGACGATAAGCATGAAACAAACAAGGCCAACTCTCTTTTTTTAAATATTTTTCTTCTTTTTTCTTTTTTATTACATGAGTCACTTTTTCTAAATGAGAGTCGTTAGGACGATTATTACCTAGGTTTAACCTCGGAGCTTCTCCCCGAGTCTCTTAGGCCGGTTTCTCGTACTCATTGACCCGATCTATTTAGAAAGAGACTAATCAGGCTGAGCGAAGTATAATCCTTTCAACTCTCACGTGCTCATTTTTT